TGAGGTGTATTGTTATCATCATACCGTAATCATCATCCAATACAAAAAGGGAAAAATATTCCAGAACCGGAGTTTTGAGGTAGCTGTGACTGTATGTGGCATGAATCGACAGTTCCCATTACATATAATCCCACCCTTTTCTTCAAATCTGACCACCTCCTCTCACACCTCGAGTCCAGTAAAGGCAACAGTAAGTTGAATATCTGGTCTACATCCTTCTGATGCACCTATTTAATGGATAGAGTGAACTTTGGATTTGATGGGGGAATTTTTACCAATTTTTCCCTGGGTGTATACAAACAATAAACTTTGACTCCCAACCTGAGCCAAGCCCCTCAGTCGAGATCTGGGTGAAACTTCATTGGGTGTTACTCTTCCAAAGTGGTTCTTGCCACGGGGCACAATTTTTTCCTTTAAAACACATTGATCATACTAGAGAGGCAATGAGTTAGAAACCTATAAAAGTAAGGAGAGAAGTGATCTAATTTTCCCTACTGCTTGGTATAGCTGTTTTATTAGCTGCAAGGTGGTTAACCGGTCAAAAATGCCTCTGTCCTCATTTAAAAGACTCGGTATTTTATTACTTGGTTTTAATACACACCTCGTCTCTCTGGAGGATTTCACATGGCAATTTATTAATGTCAAATGTCCTTAATCCTATAAAAGGCAATGGGAAAAGAATCGGTGATGTGTAATTACTGATGATTAAGATTCGGTTGGCTGTGGAGAGGTGCGGGGAGCTGGCTAGAGGGGGTCGGACAGAGGCTGCGACTCACCGTGGCAGGTGGGTCTCCTTTTTTACCCTTCTGTGCTTGCAACGATGTTTCTGCTTTTCTAGGCTTTATCTTTCAAGAAAGGAATTGGATAATCCCCATAAACCAAAAACATGGAAAATTTACCGTCCAGAGTTTGCAGTCGAGGCATTTTTTGATGAGGTCGTAGCTGGTACCTAATTAAGCGTAGCTCCCTTTCTTGGACAGAATCAGGTTCTTCACAAGCCCTGCCACATATTTGTAGCTTCTAAACCTCCTTCCTTGCTGGTATCCTTATATTTACATTCATGTACATATGTTTTTGCCAAATCTATTAAATACATACAAAGTAAAATCTCAAGGGTGCTTCTTACTTTCTGAAGGAGTTAGGTCATGTTTGCGAGAACTAACGTTCTTATGCACTATGTTCCAAATTATCACTTGGAAGAACCTTTAAATAACAAACCTTAAAATATTTAAGAATTATGATTCCTCCCAATAATCTGAGTTCACTTACCTAAAATACAAGTATTTCCTGCCTTGTTTTACATTTTAATCTCAGATCAGAAAGGTCACTTGTTTTCTTCCTCTGCTTGATTTATAAACTACTTAACAAACATCAGATTGGCACAAAGACTTGCTTGTTTTCAACCCAGAAAACTGTGCACACAAGCAGACCCACCAGTGCATGGGCTAATTACACACGCAGACTTCGGGGAGGGCACAGGAATCTCGGTAAACACAAGCAGCGGTTACTGAATATTCTATTTATTTTTGCGCCTTCACGAGTGAAGTCCAAGGAAATGTTTGCCTAGAGAGATCTAGATTCTTTTAAAGTCCACCTCCTTCTTCACCAACCCTGCTCACAGCCAAGTTCACTTAAGTTTAGGGAACTCTGTGAAGGAAGGTCATCTTTGCATTGCAAATATCGGTTAGTCCTGTGTCCCCAGGGAATCGTTTTCTCTTACTATTTTATTCCAAGTACCTTCCCCGTCATTGTACCTTGACTGTCCTTATTTATGAACATGGCATGAAAGGTTCACTTTTTCCCTCCAGTCAGCCCACAAGGGGTCCCAGCTGCCAGTGCAGCAACCTACCTGAAGGCTCCTTTTGGAGGAAAAGTCTTTCAAGTTCTCAACGTGTTAGGACTACATTACTTCCTGTAATTTGTGATAGGAATGTGTTGCAGCAGAACAGCTGGTACTGTTTCCTTTAAATTTTTTTAATGTTTAATTTTGAGAGAGAGAGCAAGACAGTGCAAGGGGGGAGGGGCAGAGAAAGGAGACACAGAATCTGAAAGCAGGCTCCAGGCTCTGAGATGTCAGCACAGGGCTCAAACTCACAAATGGCCAGGTTATGACCTGAGCTGAAGTCAGATGCTTAACCAGCTGAGCCACTTAGATGCCCCTGTACTGTATCCTTTAAAACCCATGCAGCAGTGAGCTACAGCGGGCAGATCAGGTGGCAGGCTTAGGTCAGTGGGAAAATACCGAGCTGGCTCAGTGAGGAGCAGTAAGGTCTAGCCCTTCTCAATACTGGCAAGAAGGAAGGAAGGAAACCCCCATTAAGTCTCTTGTTTTTTGAAATATCATAGCCGGGGTTTCTCTTCTCTAACCCTCTAAGGTGCATCAAGATTCCTGGCCCTTATGAGGTGCCACACTATCGTGCTTTTGCTCCTATAAAGAGATTTTATGGGAAGTTTCCACCTTAGAACCCAATGTAAATACTTCCTTCGAACAACTCGAAAGACTTACATCATAATACATCAGAACGATACCAGTTTTCTTAAATAGAATTTACTACCCAGAATAGAATTATCCAAAACTGAATAGCAAGTTTCACTATTTTTTAGAAATAGAACAGCATCCTGCCCCATCAGAAACATCACAGGTACCACCTGGCAGAGGGAGATTAATGCTAGCGGGCCAAGTTTCACAACTGCAGTGTAATAAAGAACACATTTTTGTCAATTTACTTACAGTGAAATTATTTTACATCAGGAATGATGCTGACCAAAAAAAAAAAAAAAAAAAAAAAAAAAAAAAAAAAAAAAACGCTCATTGCAATGAAGCCACCGCCTTGAAACCTTACCATACTCTTAAGCAGTCGACAGTTGGTTCTTAGCATGTAAAATACTTAAAACAACTCATGTACTCAAATTTTAGGTAAATAATTTAATGATAGAACACCAGAATTGCTTTAAACACACAACTTCAACTTACTATTTTTGGAGTACAGATCTGAAATGGTACAAATTGTATTCAAATACTGAACCATGAATTAAGCAAATAGAATGGAAAAAAAAATTCCCCTGATTTAGGTTTCATTCCTTACTCTTTTCCTTGCCTCAGACTGCTACTACTGCAGATGTTTAATTGAATCTTAAAAGGACAACATATGAGAAGGTCCCCTGCCAACAGGCCTAACTCAGATGGGCTCACAGATTCTCAAGTAGCTCACTTCCTGCTGGAAGCCAGCCCCATTTTCTATTTTGCTTCGGTCCAGGCCTGTTCAGATGAAGCACCACTCAGTAGCTACTGACCGCTTAAGGTATGGAGAGAAAAGGCAGAAAAATGATTTTCTTTCAAAGAAAACGCAGGTGGCTGACCAGCCATTGCTCCAGAGTCCATCAGGCACAACACTGAGCACCCCTCCCCAAATGTCCACAGCAGCCCCCATGGGTCAGCATGTCACTTCCCTGACCCTCCTGCTTTGGGCATATCAGAAGCTTTGCAGAACACAAAGCTTAAGGAAACCAGAGGTTTCACACAAGGCTTTCATTGTGCCAACAATGACAGAAGCACACGGGACAGACACAGGTCAGCCTGCTTAAAAACACTTGTTACCGAGAGAGTCCTTGCTGGTCTTGGAGCAGCACGGAATGATGGGGCTTGCCTAAGTGGTGACAAGAAGGATCCTCTTAGACCAGGTGACCTGAGCTTCTGTGGTTGTTGTGAGTGCATACATATGGCAGAACTTACTCGGCTTGTTTTCTTGCTTTATAAAGTCACCCCCTATATATAATCATCATGAGGATCCACTGACCGCTGGTACCAAATGTAAAAGGCTCCAACTCCGTAAGAAACATGGCAAGCAGTTACGGATCCCAAGATAAACTTCAGAAAGGGCCAGCCCCGACATCACTCACTGTGGAGGACACGCACTACGTTGTGTCCAGTTCCATCGGAGAGAGGACTTTGCCCACGAGCACCATCACTCAGTCACCAGCCAGGGAAAAGGGCTTCTCTTGGCTTTGGCACTCTGCTCCCTGGAAGGGTTTCTGATCGGTGGAGGCAATGAGTGAGTGTTCAAAAGTGGATCAACAGCCCATAGGTGGTCCAAAGGAATACTCTGGAATCCTACCCAGGCCAGGACCCAGAGACAGAAGCTAAGGGCTGCTGTCAGTCATTGGTCTTCACAAAGCAAAGCAGCACAGTCCCCTCCCCTCAGCCCCTTCCTCAACCTAAAGCCCAGCAGAGGGGAAGTTCTTTGGGAGGGGAGAAGGGAAGTCGGCACAGGTAAGGCTACGCCGCTCTAGGCCTAGATCCCACCTAGAATGTGGCCCCATCTAGAAAATGAATGGCACTATTTTAACAGAACATCCTGGGAAATTCCAAGATGCTTACTCTAAACTTGTATCAGTAACACGGAAGCCACTCCAGTATGCAAGTGTGCTCTCCTCTACCAGTTCTAGGTTGATATTTTAGTTTTCAAGCACCACAGGAAAACTTTTTAAAATTTTAGCCGCTTAGTGTAGTGCATGTGCTAAGCAGATTTTAAAAGAGACCCTACATCTACAATGAGTCAAGTATGCGTTTATAGCCATTTCATGAACATGGTTACCTCTGGGTTTTTCTGGTGAGATCTGAGACTAAACATGGAACCAGCCTTTCTTTTTTAACAACATGCAACCATCCAAACTGCATGGACACACACAGGTTTATGCAAAAGCCCTGACAGAACTATATTTAGCCTTTCAGATTGGACATAGGGGCCAGTGGCTCACCCTAAATGCCCCACCGAGGACAAGAGCAGCAACTTTTCTATTCAATTACAGGCAAAAATTATAGGATATAAAATAGACGCTCTTCCATAAAGTTTAAGATTTAGGGTAGGATAAGGGAAGACCAAAAAATAAAATTCTTATGAAACCAAAGTAATTCTACATTGGTCTTGTACTCCACGAAACCCTGAGATGAACTGTCGTCCTCAAACGCCGATACTTGGATCTAGGTTCACCAGGACACTTCAGTATGCTTCAAACTGGCTCATCATCAACTTCCTGCTGTACTCGTAGGCCAAAAATAGCGCCCCATTGGCAGGGAACGCTCGAATCATAGTAGGTTTCAGTCCAGAATATAAGGCCGTTATTCCTAGAAGACAAAAAGTGACCCAAGTCTGAGACATCACGTGAAACTGCAGAGCACAGGGCTATGTACCTACAAATCCAGACAACGTGCTACAAACCAGTAGGTGATGGAAGAACTTCCTTCCAGGTTTCCCTGGACTAACAGGAACGAAACGGACTAATGGAAACAAGGACAAGCGTCAGGCCTCCCAGCAAAGCTGGCGGATGCTCAGGTAACACACACTAATCTCATGCCTGGTTCATCCCCAGGAAATGGATCAGGCAGAGCGGAGGCCTCACCTGGCAGCCCAGGGCCCCCAGGGGGCAGGGACCATAAGGCATCGGGCGAAGAGCACAGGCGCTTAAGTCCGAGTCCCGTGTCGACTGCTGCACTGCCCAAGGTGGCTATGCAGATCCAGGTGGGTAAGGGAGGTGGGAGGACTCTGTGAAACTATGAAGTGTTCTGCAGCTTTGGGACACGAACCAAACTGTTGCCACACACCGTAACTGTGCTCTCGCTCAAAATCAAGACAGAAGGGCACCTGGGTGGCTCAGTCGGTTAAGCGTCCAACTCAGTTTTGGCTGAGGTCATGATCCCATCATTTGTGGAACTGAGCCCTGCGTCTGGCTCTGAGCTGACAGTTTAGAGCCTGCTTGGGATTCTCTCTCTCTCTGGCCCTCCCCCACTCGTGTTCTCATTCTCTCTCCCTCCTCCCCTGCCCCCACCCCCAAAAATAAACATTAAAAAAAAAAATCAAGGGCCGCCTGGGTGGCTCAGTCTGTTAATCGTCTGACTTCAACTCAGGTCATGAACTCATGGTTCGTGAGTTCGAGCCCCGCGTCGGGCTCTGTGCTGACAGCTCAGAGCCTGGAGCCCGCTTCAGATTCTGTGTCTCCCACTCTCTCTGCCCCTCCCCTGCATGTGCTCTGTCAAAAATAAACAAACATTAAAAAAAATTTTTTTTAATCAAGACAGGGAAGTTCACATCCCAAGTTGTATAGTGGATGCCAGAAGGTCAGGTCTTGACTCACTAGTGGCATGAAACTGGCTTTATACAAACATCACCTGGAGAGTCTTTATATTCCTGTATAACTCTCAAAATGAATAGCAAATTGCCTTCCGGAGGACTTAGCATTAAGCATTTGTTGCGCCTTCCTTTAAATCCCTCAGTGTCTCTGTTAGAGGTCGTTTCTGATCCCATCTGTATTATGTAAAACAAATGGTGCGGCTTCAAAACATTCATCCCCTTGGACACAGACCGTATTTTAAAAATTCTCTCCAGGTGACTTAGAACAAAGACTCCTGGCCCAGAAGTGAAGAATAACAACTTCAAACATGGCTGAGAATGAAAGGAGTCTAAAGAAAGGGTGTGAAGACAGCACCAGGGCTGGAGACAGGCGGCAGGGGGAGAGCGCAACCACACTCCCTGATCGACCTCGGGAAGGTTGGCGGAGAAACGACCACACTGGACACACCTACTCTGTTTCTGCAACGAGCGGACTCACCTTCATTTTTCACGATGCTGATCAAGGTTCCGACAAATCCTGCCTGTTTTCCAGACATGGAAAGGACTTGGATTCTGGATTTGACGCAATCCACTGGGTACACGGCCAGCCAGAGGCAGATTCCACCAACTCCACCGCTTAACATCAAAGGGACAGGGCCTGGGCGAGGAAATCAGCAAACAGCGTTTTGCCTCAAGAACAGCATTTCCAGAGGTCAGGGTAGCAGCGGCTGCAGGCAGGTGCAAATAAAATTGCTAACGCGCAGAGCACAGTCCTCAGAAGGAGCGGCCAAAGCTCTGCGGGCACAAGGTCCCTTGTGGCACTCGGGGTCGGCCCCTCATCGTGCCAGGTCCGTGCTGATCCCTGTGGCCTGTCTTCCAGGGGGCCGGCCCACACAGAAGCAGCACGCCCCGCCGGGAGGAATGAGAACGGTGGCCACTGAGACATAGGCCACGATCTCTTCACCTCTCTCACTCTCAAGTGTTTCGATATTTTAATGCCTCACGGCCCTGATTCTTCCTTTACCATGAAAACCCAAATTGTCTTATTAAGCACAACGGTTAAGCCTGGGAGCCTGCCGAACCCCAGAGTGAAGTCCAAAACACTGAAGGGAGGTGTTTGAGAAAAAAAAGGAATCATTCATGAGAGCCAAACGTGGCCATTGTTTGTCATGAGTCATGACAGGAGTCAAGCAGCTCAATAGGATTATCTAGAAAGAACTACACTTTTCAGCGCTCTGGAAACACTCGAGATTTATTACCAAGTTTTAAGCTTACTGCAAAATCCTTTATGGGCCATTCACCCATTTATTGGAGATTTCCCACAGGGAAGGTAATTTTGATATTCTCCCCTAACACATGTTATTCCAGTAAAGAAGTTTGGGATGCACGGCTTCATCCCCGTCCCGGGGACATTACCACACCGACAGGAAGGTGCCAAGTTCCCTGCCGGCCTCCAGAAACACCAGACAGACTCCCACAGCACACCTGGCCACCACGCCACTCTGGGGCACAGCCCATCCCAGCCCACTGGGTCAACGTGGGCACACCTACCTAGTTCATCCTTCGATCTTCCTGATGCAAAAAACGACCTGCTCAGTTCGTAGCCGCCGAAGAAGAAGAAATAGCCTGGCACCTCTCGGAGTAAAGTGCTGGAGAGGCCGTGGTAGAAGCCCAAGGGGCCGTCCTTCCTGAGGACGCTCTTCACCACGGACCAGACTGTGCTGTGAGGAGACAGTGAGCCGCGCTTAGGGCAGGCAGCAGCTGATTCTAGAAACCAAGGGACCCGGATTCTGAGAACAGAAGGCTTCTACTGAGAGGAAATCTCAGAGAAGCGCAGTTATTTTAGGACCAGTGTTCTCATAAACTATCCGATGACAAAGACATTTCATTAAAGTGCATTTGTACAAAGCTGGGTGTGCCCGCCGCACCCCCCGCCAAGATTTCAACAGACTGCCAGAACCCCGTCTCACACGGAAGCATGGTGTTCACACATCCCAAGTGGGCTGGGGATCGAGCCTACTCAGCAAAGGAGGGCCTGAGAGTACTCATGGAAAAGGAGTTCCCTGGAGTTTTGGAAAATCAGGGCCTCTGGCCGTGGACAAAACAAGCGACAGACCCGGACCAGAACGGACGTGGCAAAGGGAGCTCACAGAGCTCCTTTTGGCTAACTGCTGGTCTCACATCACATGCAATGACTTGTGTAGCACACACGAAACAGAAGGGAAAGACGCAGACAGCACCGGGCACCACTCCCACCCCTCCCACCCA